ATTTGTTTCAGACCGTGCTCCCAGTAACGACCTTTTTTGCAGCCTTCGGTGTCTCCTTTGTCGATGTACAGGTGTCGCGGTGCCTCGGGGAAGAACAGCAGTGTCACAAACTGCACGATGGCAGGGATCCCACTCACCGCCAGCAGGTAAGGCCACATTTCTTCTGAGCCCATGATCTCGCTGTGATCAAAATGATCAAACATGAGCTGCAGTGAGTGCAGCAAATTCCAGAAACTGGAAACAAAATGATTTGTCTGATCATTGACTTCTTACTTGATGCCAATAATTTGACCCATCACTTTCCCAAGTCCGATGAAGATGGAGCCGGTCAGCGTCAAAAACCCTCTCAGCTTCTTTGGTGAACTTTCTCCAAGGTACATGAGGTGAACACTCAGACCCAGACCTGGAGGAAGGCAAACAAAACCAAATAATCACCATCATGATGAGACGTTCAACACCCATCATCCTCAGCAGCAGGACGTACCAACATTATATCCGTAGAGCAGTCGACCCAGCAGAATCATCTCAAACGACCCAGCCATGCGGCTGAAGAGCATGACCAGAGCTGCAGCCATCGCCACCACGTTGTTGAACAGGAGAGCCTTCTTCCTGACAAGTCAATATACACACGTCTTTTTAAGGGCTTCAAATGTTATGATTATTGTTGATTATTCATGATTAATTGTTTATGATCATGTGAAGCAGTTAGCACGCCTGGATTCCCAGATTCTCAGAGTAAACACATACTTGATTGTTAATCCTGCTCTTGTAAGTCACATCTGATAAATGATTAATCGTGTTTAGTCGTAGTCAAAATTGATTGTGATTAATCATGACTAATCCAGTGGATGTATGTGTTTCACACTGTTTATATTTATGACCGATCCAAATGATTGAATCAATTATATGTAAATACTTGTATGTAAATGCAAACGTAACTCAAATCCTAGCAAAAGTTCACAATAATTACGTACGTTTTATTCATAGAGTCAGTAGATTTGAGTCATTATTGTGCATCTTAACATCTTCTTAACTCTCTCACAGAACTTTCTGCTGATTGTGTCTGTAAAGCTCTTTTTCCTCAACAATGTCAATCAGTCTCCAGTCCTTTTACAGCCCAGTTAAATCCCAGCAGTCAACAGGACCCTGGACAGTTCTCCAGTCCATCGCAGGGCCACACAGACAAACAGAACATTCAGACTCACATTCATACCTGTGGTCAGTCAAGTGTCTTTTATTACTAAAATAAACTTATCTTTCTTCATGTGAACTTTTAAAGCCCTCGGGACATTAACCATGAGTCTCCACAAATGATCTGCCTCACCGGCCGTAGGTGACAGGAAGGCTGCCGCTGTGAACGGCTCCACCCCAGGCTCCAAGACTTAACACGGCCACAACGAAGGACCAGATGAGTTTGTTGGCAGAGTCGTCCAGTGGAGTCTGGTACCTGAACAGCCACGTTTTGTTGACAAAACTCTGGACATGCTGCAAATCGGTTGAAAGGTTCTTGTTTAGTGCTTTCCTTCAGTCAGTAGCCACAATGGAGGTGAAATACGGTCGTGTTTACGCTCTTACCACTTCTGGAGAAGCAATTAGTGACACCTGAATGCCATACTGAAATGATCCACCGACCCCGAGCACCAGTGAGAGCAGGTAAAGCCTCCAGTACTGCGGTTCATAAACAGTAAGTTACATAACTGTCATGGTTAAAACTTATATGTGCGTTTCTGCTGTAGTGACGCACAAGTTTAATGATTCTCCAGAGAGAGAGTGTGATACGGCCCGTGAGAATCTTCTGGCGTTATTTGGTGTGATATGTATGTGGGGCCCGTGAGAATCTTCTGGCGTTATTTATTTATTTGGTCGTGAATTGCCTCCATACATTTATAAACATTTGTTTTGTTGTGTTCATTTAAGTTCATCTGACATTCGTTTATTTACAATAGCATTGAATTAGGTGTCCTGATGATAGACATTAGGACCCTAATCTCTACCATCAGGACCCCTAATGCCCTAATCATTAGGACAAATGTAAACAGGCGCTTTAAGGGCAGCTTTAGGGTCTTCAGGTTAAAATTGCCGGTTGACGCGGTAAATAAGATTGTTCGTCACAGTAAATAATGCCCGTGTCTGTGTGTTTTCAGGTAAGCGATAGAGACGCAAAATTGTATGAATTTAATGGATACAGTCGTAGCGAACACGTATATTGGAAAAAATCCTAAATTTTAATTGAATCCTCCGAGCTAACGAGGCTAATATCGCTTAATCACCCTGCGAGTCTTGCTGTGTGCGTGCGTGTGTGCGTGCGTGTGTACGTGTTGTCGACGTCGGTGAAAGTAAGGTAATGTGTAAATAAGTAAATATAATAAAGTTGTCAGTTTAGTCTCAGTGTCTCTTTGTGTTGTCAAAGGTGGAAAAAGCTTTGAAAAAACAATGCGCCTGGAATTTGTCAATTCGTTGTTTTATTGGAGGCTACGTAAATTTCCTATTCTTTCAAATATTCTTACTACAGTTTTCTGTACTTGTGGTTCACTTTTGTTGACTTTTCTGTTACTTGATTTAATTGTTTTTTTTTTCTAAAAAAAATATAACAAGTATATTAACGTTTTCACATTGAATTTCCCTTTCGTTTAAAATAATTTGACCCTTTATGTTATTTAAAATACCACATTTCTTACGACCTACACACCTATTGTAAAAGTGTTTAAAAAACATGTGAATGTATTTAATCCTATCACATTGTTCATTTCTCTGTTACTTTAGTTTTCTGTCGGTGGTGAGCGTTTAAATGTTGCAACATTTAATTCAAGTTCAGCGCAGTAAATAATACTACCGTGGGTATTTGTTAAGGTACTTTCACTTAATCATATAATTATATTATGAAGATTTTCAGCTCAGTACTTCCAAATATATGTAAATGGAAAAAAAATCAGGAATATAATTAAATATTTTTAAATAATTAATTTTTTAATGCACAATTTTTTACCAACTTTAAAACTACATTTTAAAGACCACAACCGTTATAAAGATTCTTATTTAATTATAATTAATTAATCTCATCTCATGTTTTATTTCCGTTAAACTATGAGGAAAACACACACACGCACTTACCTTTGGTAATGAACCCTTCATTTTCCGGACTCTTCTACAGATGCTGACTGGCCGAGCAGCGGAGCAGCCTTTATGTTGGAAGTCACCTGAAGTTATACATCAACCTACTGTAGTTGTCCATTTATGTTGAGACATGAAGATGCTAACGTTATGACGTAAGTAGTAAGGATGAGCAAACACTGCACAGGATTAAACCTGGCGTTTCTAGTTGATTCCTGGCATTTTGTGCATACTGTGTCTGTCCTCGTACTCCCCCACGGGTTATTTATTCTTTCTAATCTGTTCAGTTCAGCAACAATGAAGAACTTGTTATATGTGTAAAACATTGTGATGAAATGAGACGATGTTTAACAAATGTTTTGGGGGAGTTGCTGAGACACACCAGGAGTGACGCAGGATGTTACAGTGTGTTTCAACGGATTTGTATCAAACCCAAGGTCAAGACGACCTTTTGTTTTTCTTTCATTCTCTGATGCCTCATGTTAATTTTCCCTTCATTGATGGGAAAAACTCACTGGTAAATATCACAAACTTTCACACGACACAACAGAAAATATGTCTTAACCACAAACGGAAGATAAATAAATAACCTAGCCTCGACACCTGTTACTATACGTTAGGAATTAAAAAAAAAAAACTAAACAACTAAAATTTACATTTCCACCTTGTCAGTTTATTAGAACTTCTTTTCATTCGTTCATTTATCCACAGACTGGACTTCTCCCTCTTCAAGTATTTCTATTTATTTATTTTTGAAAATAACTAAAGTCGTTTCTCTAAAAAGTTTTTTCAACAGTAGATTCTTCTTTTATTATTAAATAAAAAAATATAATAATAAATTATTTATTATTTATAACAATAAATATATTACAGTAATAATAATAGTAGTAATTTCTTAGTAACTGACATGTTGACACATGAGCAGCTAATCAGTCAACAAGACATTTTCCTCTTTATTTAAATTACAAAAACATTCATCAAATCTCCACAATACAGAAGGATTTGACTTTTGTTTTTACATTCTCATTTGTCATATCAAAAAGTTCACTGTACATCAGCCACACACACAAAACACACACTTACAATATTAGCTAATAAAATGTTACACACCATCCTAAATTAATTTCAAATTCTTTGGTGAATAAATTAAGTAGCGACTAGTGAAACACCAGTGGTTCCAGAAGTGGCGCGCAGAGGTGTTGCAAAAGTTTTTTAACTTTTGCAACAGTTAAAAAACATATAATTTTAATAATAATTAAAATTATTTTTATTATTTTATATTTTCCTAAAAAGTCTCACAGTGTGCTTCGTGTATTTGTAATAGTATTTCTCTTGGTAAAGGAGATCAGCAGCTGTGAAGGATTACAGTGTTTTTAATGATTTTCAGTGAAAAACACCCATGAGTTTAAAGAGAAGAGAACAGTGTTGGTGTGAGGTGAGTGATGATTTCCTTCACTTCTCGTTCAACACGTCTGTGAAAAGAATACAATCCCAAACATTGTCAGGAGAGAGAAGCTGAGTCCTGGTCTTTGTACAGTAGTGTTGTTTGGTCATCACTACACTGTACGTCTTCTGTCTGATGGTGTTTATATGTCTGAAGTAGAAGACCTGACCTTAAAGATGGCCCGGTGGCCAACGTCTGAACTGCTTCAGATGGAACAACCTGTCAGACTTCATGTTTGTTCCTCAGTGGAGTGGACTGAGGTCGGAGCAGCAGCAGCTTCTCTACAGGGATGTGGAATGAAGGACTTCACCCAGCTGATACTGAGCCTCCGTCGGTGACACTGAGTGCTTTTGATTCTGGCCTTTGAAGTTGAGCCTGTTGAATTCACTGGTGATGACCGACAGAGTCTTTCCCTGGGTCTCGGGCAGAAACATGCCCACGTACACCGCCGACAGCAGGCAGACCACCGCGAAAGGTACGAAACAGTACTCCTTCAGTCCACTCTGAAAAAAACAGACAGATCAACAGTCAGTGTAGGTGGACGTGGATTGTTGGGAGAGGTCTGTGGATGGACGGAGTCATGGACTGACCACCAGAAATGGGAAAACCATCCCAACGATGAACAGGTTGATCCACATCATGGATCCGGCGATCATGTAGGCTGCAGGCCGAGCGGCCTGGTTAAAGATCTCTGTGGGCAGAACCCCCGTCACACCAGCTGAGGGAAAACAACAAATACATATATATATATACACAGTATATTAGCATATTATTACAAAATATCTGTAAGAATCGTTATCGTTTTTTTCCTCCGATAATGAAAACCCGAGAATGCAATACCTGGGTTTCGTCAAATGACGTCTGTCCGTCAGTTCTAGTAAAATGTCTCAAAAAAGACTATCAAATGACGTCTGTCCGTCAGCATAAACACGTTCTAGTAAAATGTCTCAAAAAAGACTTTACCTGGTCCCATGCCGAAGCTGAGGATGTACGTGAAGACACAGGCCATGCTGAGGTACTGCATCCAGAATACGTAGTGCTGAGTGTATGTGGACAGAAAATAATTTTTAAATTATAAAATAACTAAATTAAATAAATCACAAGCAGAAAACATTAAACTAATATGATTATATTTATTACAATACCATATTATGGTATGTTCATATTTTAGGCTGTCTTAAAGACTTTATATTCTAGGTTCTGGTGCCCTCTAGTGGATGCTGAAATACAGGCTGAACC